CGAGAGAGATGAAAACGACACCAAATAGTATAGTCAATTACTAATACCATTACGAATGATCCATGGGCAGACTGGCTCAGATAGCAAAGGTTGGAGGGAGGAAAATGTGTATCCAATATCGGGGAGAATGATAGTTTAAACTGTGTGAGTGTGTTTATGCGGAGAGGGGAAGGGGGACGGGGGTGAGTGGGGGAGATGAAAAAATGAAGTTCAAAAAGCGAGATCGGAGGCAAAATAACATAATGCATCATTGCAATCTCTTTTTGGTTTGAGGAAATAATATCGAAGGAATGGACTCATAGAAAACGCAACACATGCGAACAAATATGCAAAAAGGGCAAAGAGAGAAGTTAGAAAAAAACCCCATCAGAGTCGAGGCCGAAATCCAGGTAATGAACCATCATAGGGTCAGAGTGATGAGATAGAGCAAGTGTGCAATGATAAGGCATGCACGATTTTTATGTTGGAAGAGAATTGAAAGAATTGTGAAATGGATCATAAATATAACTCTGGTAGTAGAGAGAGAAGACAAAAATTAGGTCCTTTTATCTTTTCTGGCTACAGACGGACATCACAACAGAATAGAAAGAAATATGTTGTATCAAACAAAGAAGGGGGAATTGATAACTTGAATAGCATAGGCAAGATACAACGGAGGAAATTAGATATTTGAATGGACACAGACAGAACTAAACAGAAAATTATCTTATTTCATGTCTTCCCGATGGCCACGATGATGATGATGACGATGATGGACAAACGCAAGCAGGAAATGATTACAGAGAGGCGCTTTCCTGGTCACAGTGGAGGACCAAGATGTATGAGGATAATATGTGTGTGTGTGTGTGATCAATCGTTTCCATTCCTGAGACAAGCTCTGATTCCGCTACTCAACCAAAGGACAAGCCGGAGGGTGAACGTTGCTGAATAGGTTTAGCTCGTAGCAACTGCAAAATATGAGCACGACCACATAACCAACCAGAAGAACAATACCGTATGGTTTGGTCAAACGCCAACGATTCACATGCGTTGCGCCAAGCAAGAACAAAACAGTACTGAACAATGTGAGAGTGGCGTACAACAGACCTAGAAAGAAAAATGAAAAAAAGAAAACGTTGAAACGGGTATCGTATCCTATTGGGTATATCATACCGAAAGTCCCAGGGCTGTTTCGACAACCCCAACTCAATTTATCCACATCGTGCACGTAATTACGCTGTAAGGTCATTAATCTGCTTCTTCGGTATTTGTTATGCCAAATGTACCGTGTTTTCTGTTTGACAGAAGCTTCCCACGATCTACCTGAGCAACGTACTTTTAATCCACCGGTGTTCACCAGCAGATAAAGTGGTTATGGTAGTGTTGATAACAGATCGAATGGAGTTCACCAGCTTATCGATTCTATTTATCGATCATCGCACATACAACATGGTTCACTAGTGTTGTGTTCAAGAAGTCAGCTGATGAGAGGGCGATTTGTGTGTGTGTGTGTGTGTGTGTGTGTGTGTGTTAGAAGTGTTTCGTTAAGCACTGAGCAGTCCGGAACAACCGGAAATTAGAAGACAGACTGACCGACTGAAAAAGATACACAGTAGTGTGGACGCTTACTGAGTAGTAACCGAGATAGAGCAAAGCAGCACATATGGTGAAAAAGAAGAAATTGGAAACGTAGGAAATCACTTTACAGTATTCACTGTCATCTAACAGCCTGTCAGGATAGGTTGAAATTCATTTGTGTTTCTAAGACCACGCGTATATTTAGTCCAATTGTGTGAAATAGTCAAAGTCAAAGTCAAAGTTTTATTATGGGAATAGCTTACAAGCTGGTGCTTCTC